GCTGCCCCTGGACCCAGCAACCACCCCACCCCCTTACCCCCCAGTACCTCTATCTCCAGGACTTTCTGGCCAGCAGCTGTGTTGAGGTTCAGGAAGGCCAGCCCTTCCTCTGTTGTCCTGCTCTGCTGGGCCTCACTGCAGATGCACACACCCACAGCTGGCGACTCATCCACACTGGTGACATAAACCTGGGGAGGGTGGAGGGTGACCCCAAGCTCCTGCTAACAGGCTGCAGCCCCCACACTCTGAGCCAAGCCTGCTGGGCCTCTCCCCTGCACCCAGCACCCACCCAGCTTCTGCCTCTCCCCACTGGAGATGTCCCCGTGAGGCTAGGAGCAGCCGCACACTGCTCTTTGTCCCCAGGCATGAGGCCTGGTGCTCCCACAGGCTGGAAACCCCAGCTCTGGGTAGTCAGGGCTAAGCCAAGCATGTACCCTGATGCTGAAGGGCATCCCTGGCTTGAAGAACCCCGGCATGCGGAAGAACTGGATGCGGTAGGATGTGCGTGCAATCCTGACACCTGACTTCTCAGCCAGCACCGTGTCCCCACCTGCAGAGGTGGAAGCACTATCAGTGCACATCAGTGCCTGCCGCCTGAGGGGAAAGGGGGCTCAGGTGGAATGGATATGACCCTGGCGCGGTTTGTGCTAGGGGGTAGATGGATGAATGGGTGGATGAGTGAGTAGATGGAGAGATGGGTAGATTGATGGATAGGTGGGTAGGTGGGAGGATGGATGCCTGGGTGGGTAGATGGATAGATAAGTGGGTGGGTGCATAAGAGGGGAGAACAGCAGGGTAGATGGATACCGAGCATCTAGGGAGAGGGACAAGTGGAAGGATTGAGGGAGGGGGTGTAAACCATGGAGAGAAAGACAGATGGACGGGGCCTGCACAGTGGGGATAGGCAGGCAAGAAGTGGGCACGGGTGGGGGAGTAGGGGAGTGCTGCTTGCCCTGACAGGGGGATAGACAGACAGACACAGTGAGGAGGCTATCCTGGGCTCAGCGTTCAGGCCTCCTGCTCCCTGGAAGATCCCCATCAGGAACCAGGAGGCCTGGAAGCTGCCACCCGTGGGATCTGTCCCTCTCTGTGGCTGCTTACCTGCAGAGAAAACAGTGACATTAATGAAAATGATGGCGTCAACAAGCTCCTCAGGGTTCTTGAAGGCATTGTGAAGCACATCCAGCGTCAGGGTTGCAGTCCCCGTCCCCTGTGTGATCTGTGGGGAGAGGCACTGTGCTGGGCCCGGGCAGCACCTGCCACAGGGCCCAATCCCAGCCAGAGCCTGGTGGTGCCTGAGTACCCCCGCCCCCACCCTGCCCCTCCCCAGGTGAGGACTCACATCAACTCTCTGCAGTGATTCCCGCAGGGAGTTTCTTTGTGTCTCCGTGCGGACCCCAAAGATGGCCAGGGCATAGCCATCCACGGGCTCGTTGAACATGAACCTGATCCACCAAGGCATAGAGAGGGTGATGGCATGAGGGCAACTGCTTCACCCCAGAGGCAGCTGCATTTCCAGGTGGGCAGAGCTAGGAACACTGCCCCACCTGCTCTCCATGACACTCTCCAGGTATGTCCAAGGCACAGCGGGGTCCCCTGGGGCTTGCGGGGGCTGGCATACTCGACCAGGCTGCTCCGCCAGGTTCTGTGCCCATGGGTGGGGACAGGCCAGGCTGGACTGAGTGCCACTCACCTGGCATTGATAGTGAAGGTCAGCACTTCCCTGTCTCTTTTCCCATCCAGGTAAAGGAACTTTCTGTCTGGGACCAGCTCCACCTCAAAGGCTGGCAGCACTGTGGGGAGAGGCAGCGTCAGTAGTCAGAGCTGCCCAGGGAAGCTGTGTGGCCCGAGCGCTTAGGACCAGTGTGGAGCGGGCAGGCCACACACCATACTCCTTGTCCTCAAACTCAGTGCTGTAGGGCTGCTGAGGTGATTGCTGGAACCAGGCCACGATCTTCCAGGTGCCAGTTCTGCAGGGGCAGAGAAGAGCAGGTGTGGAGCTGCTTCTGCCAAAGACAGAGGACAGACTCTGCCAAACCCCTCTATCCCCCACCACCCCATGTAGCTCCCCCAGCTGCTGCCCCCTCCCCACCCATGTCAGAGGCCCTGGGGCTGGCAGCACCTACGTGCTCTGCTCAGGAATCCAGAAGGTGGCAGTGTAGAAGCCTTTCACCATTTGCCAGGAGTTGCTGGTCAGGGTGATGCCCTCGGGGTTCTGTGGGGAGGAGCTTGCTGAGGGGTGCCTTGGCTCCAGCACAGGCTGTGAGTAGGGAATCTGGCCTCTTGTGCCCTGAGGATTCCCTGTCGGGCTGAGCCTGCATAACTAGGCCATGCTGGCAGTATCAGTGGGATCACCAGCTCCATACCTGGATAGCAATCACACAGGTTGTCTCCAGTGGGTCCATCATGTGGTTGACAGACAGGATCCGGTATCTCACTGTAAGGAAAGGCACAGAGGTGGGCAGAGTTGCTCCCCTGCACACGCCTGCCCCCACTCCAGTGCTACCTGCCCATACCGCTCTGCCCAGGGGTGTAGATGGCCTTGTCAGTCTGGAAGAAGAGATACCCAGTGTGTGGGGACACCAGGATGGTCTTCTCCAGGAGGAAGAGGCTGGACTGGGCCTGAACCACCAAGTACTGCTTCTCCGCTGGGTCAGACGAGATGTAGTTGGCCGGGACCTGGAGCACAGCAGAGCCGGGAGGGTGGGGACAGAGCTGTGCTTTGTCTCCCAGGGGCAGGAGCAGGGGCAGGAAGCCGTGGGTCTGCCCCTGGCAGTGTTCCCTTCCCACCATGTCATTCATCTGGGGGTCTGTGCCATGCAGCAAAGGCACAGCTGCAATGGCTGCCCCCACCCCCAACTGCCTCCTGCAGCGCAGCACCCCCTGGTGATATCTCAGGTCACGGCCTGCCCAGGAGAGCACCCCCTGTTGCCCCACTGGCCCCTTGACAATGTCCTAGCAGGGAGCAGGGGTGGTGGCCCAGCTGTCCGCACCTGCACCATGGCCTTGGCTAGGAAGCTGCCAGTTGAGGAGAGCGTTGCGGCCGCCTCACTCAGCAGCTGCCTCCGTGCAGGGAAGTCGAAGATCCGGATGGTGACAGCCACATCTTGCAGCAGGCCCCCATCTGGGTCCTGGGCTTGGACCACAACCATCTCGTGGCTGCCAGTGCGCAGCACATTGGGGGCTGCCAGCAGGTACCTGCAGGGTTGGGGCGCTCAGCCGGACACCTCAAGCCTCAGTCTGGTACCCAGCTCTGCCCCTGGCTACTCTCAGGGCCTTGGGTGCATCCTTTTGCCTCCCCATGTCATGCAGGGCAGGTGGGTGCAGGGACAGGGCTGTCAATTGGCCCTATTACTCTGCCAGGCCCTTATTCCCCACCACTGCCAGGCTTGAGCTCACAGCTCTGGGACCAACAAGCTGCAGGTGCTGGTACATGCCCCCCACCCCAGCCCCCTCCAACCTCCTCCCTACACTCACAGGGGCCTGCCCTGGGCCAGCTGTGGCCCCAGTAGCAGCAGCAGCAGCAGGCCAAGGACGTGCAGTTGTCCGGTGCCCATGCTCCCAACTGCGAGACTGGTGGAGCAAACAGTGCTGCCCTTGTGTGGGGTTACCCTGAGTTAATGGTTAACCCGGGGGATGAGTGTGACTGCCCGGAAAGGCAGCACCTTCCTGGCAATCCCTAGTTCATGCCAGCCCCTTTGGGGTGGTGCCAGCAAGGGGTGGGGGGCTGCGCAAGGAGCCCCTGTCCTAGGCCCAGCTCTGTGCTATTCTAGAGCTGTCCCGGGCTGTTCTACATTCCCTGCATATGAACACCATGGGACCACAGTCCAGCTTGGGGAGACCCAAGAATCGAGGCAGTGAGGTACAGCAATACCAGGCCCACTGCAGTACAGATTGGCCCCCATTGAGCAGAGACTAGGCTGCAGCCAGAACCAGGCCTGCCCCCCTCACATTTGGGTTCAGCATTAGTGTTTGTGCCCCAGACCAAATGAGTCTTTACCCCTTTCTCCCAGCCCGTGTCTGCTAGTTCTCCAACCCTGGGTGATGGTGCCCCTTCCCCGCACATGCCCTGGGGCTTGACTCAGCCCTTTGCAAGGGGCAGATTCCTCAGTGGCATAGGGGGCATGTGTGCATGGAAGATGTGGGGGCACAGCAACAAGCATTGGCAGCACTGGCCCTGGCTCTAGGTCTGTCTGGATGGTGTCAGCTGGGTCAAGTGGGTGAGATGTAGCCACTGCATGTGTTTGCAAACAGGCCAAAGTTCAGGTCAATAACATGCATGCATGCACTCACATACATGCCCACATGCATTTACACACATGCACGCTCCATACTCTGGAGGACCTAACTTCCCACCACTGAAAGCGACAATATTTTGGAGAAAACATGGAATCTAGGACAGGTTTTATTGGGTTTACAGAGTGCCTTGATCTTGCCACCCCTCCCCTCTGCCACCCCCAAATGGAGGAGCTGGTTCTGGAGAAGTGGGAGATCTCTGGATTGTGAGCTGTGGGGGTGTCTCAGTGCATCAGGAGCCAAAGCAGCTCCAGGAAGATCTTTGGCTCACTGCTCAGTAAAAGAGCAGAGTCAACACAGATGCAGCTGTTGTCTGTGTGTTGGGCTCAGGGAACCCTGAAGATGGGGCCACACACCAGGAGGGCAATGCTTTTGGTGCCAGCAGCTGCTCATGAGGCAGGAGCATGCTGTGGGTGATGGATGGTTTTGTGTCAGCAGGTCTAGGTCACTTGCAATCAAGAGTTATACAGGAGTCAGCTGAGGAGTGATTGGGGGCTCCCTGGGCTGGTGCTGGGAAGGAGCTGCCCGGCACCGCAGCCAGGAGAGCAAGCTGGGGTCAGGCAGGGACCACCTGGGGTCGGCAGCAGCCACAGGCGAGACACTGGAGGAAGCGGAGGCCAGGGCCAAGGAGGCGGCCGCCGCAGCTGAAGAGCAGGTGGTGGGAGGCATGGACAGACAGGGTCCCCGAGGGGTCCACACGCTTCAGAGCCACCAGCACCTTGTAGCCTCGGTTCGTCTGTGTGCGGAGGGGTGGGCGGGCAGCCCCCAGCACCCGCACCACGGCCTGCAGGCACAGACCATCAACACTGCCCCAAATGCCCATCTGTCTATCCCCACCAGTACATATCCCACTGTCTGTCCGGGAAATTCCCCCTCCCAGTGTCTATCTGGTCTGGACCATGCTGTTGGGGGAGCTAGCCATGCAAGGGAGTTAGGGGCTGCAGATGAGGTAGGGGTGCTAAATGTGGGTACCTGTAGCCCCCACGCTTTATGGAGGGGCCCCTAGCTCTGTGAAGGAGGCTGGAGGGGTCTTGGGACACAGGGCAGGGTAATGAACCCCTCCACCCCCAGGTTTTCAGGCTTCTGGGGCTGCCCTGGGCCCCACGCACCTCAACTACATCCTCAGGGCTCTGGCCCAGGGCGGCGAAGAGGCGGCGGGTGGCTGGCACGTAGGCATCCCGAAAGGCGCCCAGCGTGGTGGGGTCAGTGTCCGGGAAATCACGGTGCGAGGCCTCATCCAGCAGCTGCTGCTCAAAGGCTGTGTGCACTGGGCCGGGCTCCACCAGGGACACACTGTGGGCACAAACAACGTTCATGGAGGTGTTGGACTCCAGTGCCTCCTGCAGCCACCCCCCACCCCCCACCCCACCCACCAGGAAGAGCCCCTGAGCTGTACAATGCCATTCCCCGCAGGGCTCCAAGCAGGACCCAGGGGCACCTCTGTGGGAGAAGGCAGAGGCTGAGAAACCCGGGCAGCCCCACAGCCCCTGGTGCTGCCCCACTATTCCCCCTGCCCCTCCTCCCCCCGCCCACTCACTGGATGTTGAAGTTCAGCAGCTGTATGGCCAGGCTCTCACAGAAGCCCTCCACAGCGAACTTGGAGGCTGCATAGATGTCATTGAAGATGACGCCTGTAAAGGGCAGAGGGGCTGAGCCAGGGGCAGGGGGCAGCTGGGGGACTGGGAGGTAGCTGGGGTTGATAATGATTGAGGGGAGCAGCTGGGGAGTCACAGCACCCTGCTGCCTCCCTGCCCCCCTCTGGGGACAGCTCTGCCCAATTGCTCCATGCCCACCACACCCAGCTAGGTGGGGTTCCCCTGCCCCTGGCCCTCACCCTGCAGGCCCATGACGCTGCTGATGACCACAATGTGCCCAGCGCGGCGCTGCTTCATGCCGGGCAGCACAGCTCGCACCAGACGCACGGTGCCCAGGAAGTTGGTATCCAGGACACGCTGCATCTCAGCCACTGAGAGCCCCTCGAGTGGCCCCGCCAGCCCCACGCCCGCATTGCTCACTGTCGGGCAGGCAGCTCAGGACCCAGCCTCCACAACCTGCCCGCCTGGGTCCCCTCCTGCCCCTGCGGCACAGCACCCCTAGGGACCCCTTGCCCCTTGTCCCACAGCTCCCCCTGGAGG